CCCTTCCYGGATACAGCAGCTCTTCCGAGGAAGCATGGCGGCTTTCCCGGGATGTGGTGGCTTTCCTGAGACCCAGCAGCCCTTCCCGGACCCGGCAGCCCTTCCCGGGAAGCGTGGTGCCTTTCCCGGGCCACATCGGCATTCCCGGGAAGCAGCAGCATTCCCGGCGGCATTCCCGGCGCTACCTGCCCCGCGGTGCCGCCGCTCCATCCAGATGTAGCAGTTGCTCTGGGCGACGCCGGTCTGGGAATCCAGGAAGGGCAGCCGGACGCTCCGCTCGGCACAGAGGCGCGCGTTGTAGCTGTGGCACTGCTCCATGGCGTCCCGGTAGTACTGCTCGCCCAGCCTGCGGAAAACCGGGAATGCCGCGGGAATACCATGGGAATGAGGCGGGAATGCCACGGGAATGAGGCGGGAATGCCGCCCCCCAGCAGCGCGTTGGAGCTGGGGCACTGCTCCATGGCGTCCTGGTAGTACTGCTCGCCCAGCCTGCGGAAAACCGGGAATGCCACGGGAATACCATGGGAATATCGTGGGAACGACGTGGGAATGAGACGGGAAGAGGCAGCCAGCAGCAGTTTTCCGGGAAGAGCATCCCGAAATGGGTGCTTTTCCCTCTGGAGCCAGCAGAGGGAGCCCAGACACTGGGCTGGGATGGAGAATTCCSGAAGTTCGGGGCGGCCGATCCCTCCCGGAGCCGTCGCTTCCKCTGGACAAGTCGCTTCCGGAAAACTTTCCCAGACTTTTCCAGATTCGTTCCGGCAAAAGGCGGGAYTCCAGCAGGGGGAAAAGGGGGATTTGGCTTCTTGGGATGGAGCCAGAAGAGGTTTGGCCATCCGAAGGACTTCAGAATCCCGAGAAAAAGGGGAATTCCATCCAAAAAATTCCAAAATCTCAGAAAAAGGAGGAAAAAAAAGGGGCATTCCATTTGAAGGATTGCAAAATTCCAGGAAAAAGGGGCATTCCATGATAATTGCCATTATTTTTAAAGACAAATCCGCCGGAAAAGTGTCGGATTTAGAAATATTTTAGGGCTATTTAGGAATATTTTAAGAATATTTAAGTATATTTTAGGGATACTTAAAGATATTTTAGARATATTTASGGATATTTTAGGAATATTTAGGRATATTTTARAGCTTCTTCCCGGAAAGGGCAATATAGGGTCTCCAGGATATATGTTGGCACCTAAAGCCCCCCCCGCCCAGACGTATAGAGGCTTTACGTCCCCCAGGGCCCCCTATGGAGCTCAGAGCACTATATATAGGGGACATCTATAACGGACGCCCATGTATAGAACCCATATAGACCTCAATGTTGTACACACGAAACATCTATAGGGGATGCTTATATATATGGCCCGTATGAACCTTAGAACATTATCTATAGGTGACATCTATATGRGATATCTGTGTATAGTGCCCATATAAAGCTCAGAGCGCTATATATAGGTGACATATATATGGGATACCTACGTACAGGGCCCTCCCCTCATATAGGGGGACCTTCCGGGCTCTATGCGGAGATAATCCCGTGTTCCTGATGCTCTATAAGGCCCCTCTTGTAGGGACGTATAGAGAAAAGACCCGCCCCCCCGGCTCTGTAAGGGGCTATAAGGGACGCGGGGGGGGGAGCTGCTCCCTTGTTTCTTTAAGCTCCTCTAAATGATCTATAGATAGGGGCCCCTTATAGAGTGGCTCCATAGGATCCCTCATAGAGTCATACAGGGTCACAGTGCCCTATAGGGCCCCCTTTAACAGTGCCRCCAGAGCTCTATATGTTCCCTCTGCATTAAGCCTTATCCTATAGGATGCCCTACAGGAGAAGGAGGGCTCCCCACGGCCCTATAGGACCCTTAGGCTCTATAGGTTTCCCAGGCCCTACAGAACCCCCATAGGGGAGCCTATAGGGATCCCCCCACGGCCCTATAGGACCCCCAGGCTCTACACCTGCCCCCCCCCCATGCTATATGGCCCCCAGGGCCTATAGGGCACCCCCACACAGCCATATAGGGGGTTTCCCGGGCCCTGTAGGACCTCTCTGATGAGCCTATAGGTSCCCTCCCCACTATAGGACCCCCTGATGAGCCTATAGCTCCTCTCCTCCATTATAGGCACTATATGGGCTCTACAGGTTCCCCAGCCCTACAGGGACCACCCACGGGGGTTCTATAGGGTCCCCTATAGGGAAACCCACCATGGCCCTGCAGGGACCCCCCCCCCGGCCCGCCAGGGACCCCCCCGACCCTATAGGCTCCCTAAGAGCTATAGGGACCCCCCCCTCAGCCTTATAGGCCCCTCAGGATCTATAGGGACCCCCATGGCCCTACAGCCCACCCCTCCAGCCCTATAGGCCCCCTAGGATCTATAGGGACTCCCCCGGCCCTATAGCCCCCCCCTAGGATCTATAGGGACCTCCACAGCCCTACAGGGACCCCACAGCCCTACAGGCCCCCTGGGATCTATAGGGGCCCCCACGGCTCTATAAGGCGCCCCCTGGCCCTACAGGCCCCTTACGATCTATAGAGACCACCACCCCCCCGGCCCTATAGGCCCCTCAGGATCTATAGGGGCCCCCCCAACGGCCCTACAGGCCCCTTACGAT